TGGAAGCTGCTGCTGATGATGATGAGATCATCACTCAGAGCAACTTCCCTGTGGTAGTAGTAGTAGTAGTAGTAGTAGTAGTGGTAGTAGTAGTAGTAATACGCACTGAACGTGGAATACGAATCACAGAATACGAGTCACTGATTAGGAGTCACGGACGTCACGTAAGCACTGAATCACACTGGTACTTGCACGACAGTATCCCACTTAACCGAGACGGGAGGAAGAGGCCACCGGAACAGTAATTCGTTTATTGAAAGAAATTAGGGAGATTAAATAATGTGTACAAAACAAGCTCATTGGTTTGTCAAGTCTCTGCCAATCGCGTGTGAGTATTTCTGCCGTTGTTTAGTTTCTGTCTGGCCCGCACGGTTTCTGATTGGTTGATGTAATCGGCTTATGGCTTTTAGTCTAGAAGCTGTGACAAATAGGCACCTTTCTGACGTCACTCGGAAAGTTGGATTCATCTCATTTGTCCGAAAACTGTAACCTGGCGCTCCAGAGTATGCGTTTTCCCGTAGGCTAGGATCACCACAGGTTCATCTATTTTCACTTCTAAGCCATGTCAAACCCTCACCATCCATAGCCGATGGATGAGTAGTTATCCGATTCATACTTTGTCTCCATGTCGATTCTAGTCAAGCAGGCACTCTAATCCTCCACTATGGACGAGAAATTTTCAGTGAAAAATGTTATCCCTTTTTTGCTGTGGGGCACATGCAAATAAAATGGAATTGGTGATATGATAATGAAGAGCGAGAACGCATAGCAGAAGAAGAAATCTGCTGCATGGAACTTACATGAGACTGTATCTAAATTCATTTGATAAATGGCCTCCAGAAAGAGTCTAATCAATATAAAATCCTTAGATAATAGACCGAGGAAGATGACAGCGTATTGGTAGATTGAATGACATAAAACGTACGAGAAAATAAGTTTGGAAATTACTTTGTTCATCTTTCAAAATGTGTGAGATGTAAGATGTCAGCTTTCTGATTTTGTTAAATGTTTATTGCACGTGATAAAACCGTTCAAGGTCAACAGACGGGTATTTGAACTGCTGTGTGACAATGTTACCCGATCTTTACCCGACAATTTTTTCTTAGAATTTCGCGGAGTCCACCGAATGAGCTTATAGGGTAAGGCAAATTGTTCAAATTGTTGTTTGGCAGATTTGAAGTGAAACGTTTAGTGTAACCTTGGTGGGATTTGAACACACACACGCATGGACGCCGCCTACATTTTCGAACAGCGCGCGCTCTACCAGCTGAGCCAGGAGACCACACTAGCAGAGCGCTGATCTGTTAAGATTCGAATTACCCATCCAAATCCTGTGAATTCTGAGGAAAACTTGTCGAGGCAGTTGGCTTACATGCGCTAACTGGTGAATGCCATATGCCTCTCTCTGTGAGCTGGATGGGTGATTCGAATTTGAAAAGATCAGTGCTCTGTCTGTGTGACCTTGTAGCTGCTCAGCTGGTGCAGCGCCCGAAATGTACAAAAAGCGTGGGCGGCTTCCATGCGTGCGGGGGGGGGTTCGAATCCCACCGAGGCTACCATCGAACTTTTCACAATCGCCATACGAACTTCAAATCTGCCAAACAACAATCAATATTTGTGGGTTGTTTAATTATGGATGATCAAACTTCCAAAGATCAAAACGCGCTAAAAACATATTATTGCATCAATTTCCCCTTGTTGTACGAGCAAACTCCTCGCCACCTCCCTCCCCCCAAAAAAATGTGTTTGTTTGTAACACCAATCAGATTTAAAGTACCCTTTGTTTTTACACGACGCACGAAACAGTTGATTCCTTTTGCGAATCTAACCAGCTTTCGGGCATTCAAGCCTCCAGTAGAATGATTTGTTGTGATGATGCAAACATTTCTCGGACATTATTACCATTCTGTCTGATTCTGATTGTTATCGTATCCTAACTAGCTCGTCAAAACACGAAAGAATTCATGACAAAGATGGATCCATGTGTGTCGGATACAACGACTTCTAACCCAGAAAAATCCATCAGAACACCATTTATCAACTCGTTGATGCTTATCCGATACCCATCTCTCTCTCTCTCTCTACCTCTCTGTCACTCGTTCTCCCGGCAAGCACAACCATTTATGTTCATTCATTCCAGGTATGTGTATCACATAGTTGCGCATACGCGGATATTACGCAAAACCGACAGTTTCACGTACACCAATGTGCACGTGACAAGCAAAGTGGTTTTCTTAATTGGGATTCGGTTGGCCAGCCAGTCTGCCAACCAGCTAGCCAACCACCAATCCCTGTCCCTGTTCAGTGTGGGTTAGTGTTGTTGTTGTTGTTGTTGTTGCTGCTGCTGCTGCTGCTGCTGCTGCTGCTGCAGAACCCGTATGCCTTCCGGATCGGAATCGGTCAACTGTAACGTGTCGCTCGGTGGTGTGCGTCATCTCGTAGGCTAAGATCAAGGCATAGCCTCTCATCCAATATTGTGTTTCTGTCCCTTGGTTGGCTCCAAATCTGAGATCCAAGAACCTATTCGGATATCAAAGTGGGATGAGTTATGCATGGTCCAAATCTGTCACTCAGAATATTTTATGCAGGACCAAGTAATAATAACAAAATTCAAGCCCTAAATTATCACAAAGATTCATTCAGCCTGCCCAGTCCATAATTAACTCCATCAGATGCAAATGAGATTTGCGCTGACTCAGTCACATCGAAAGCAAAAGTCTAAAAATGATTTGATAATGCATTGTCGAATACGAATATGTGATGAGAGCCAAGCTTTCGTGAAATTTCTTCCAGTACATTATTCATCATGAAAACAGAAGCAACAGTCTTGGGCGTACCAAATCTAAAAAATCGGACACCGTCTCATTGCAATAAGTCTTTTTGATGTTTCCTTGCCGTAGATTCAATCCTATGAATATCCAATAAGTTGTTTTTGCCCAATAATGGGACATGTCCGGAAGCAGATGGGGTGAAATGGTTGGTTTCTAAAGATGAGTAAGGTAACCTCAACCCCACCAATGTCGTATGCGGCAAAAGTATCATGAATCTGAACCACGATGAGGTGTAACCGCTTCCCGTCAAACTGTGAACAAGCTTTGTGATGGAAAGAAGAACAGGATTTAGAAATGTCAATCGAGATTTGTGCTCTATCTGCCGTTACGTGGTTCCATATCATCATGTTCGTAGGCGATCCAGGGTTATATGGCTAAATACAAATTTGAAATTATCGGTCATATCGCCGATCGATATCACATGACACACACACACACAACTCGCTCGCCCGCCCGACCCCGTGATTTGCGCTTGGAATTTTCACACCTGTTCGTTATCGTTTTCAAACTCACTGTACCTTTTTTCTGCCTGCCAATGTATTGTTTCCAATCCTTCAATATATTTTTATGAGGGGGTTTTAAGTTAATCTTTGCCATGTTCCGTTCATTAGTACCGCTAGCAGCAAAGGTAGTAGTATTCTTTGAAATTACTTTTAGTGTCTTGATAC